AGTGGCTTTCTGGATAATGGGAAAATGGGTCAATTTTTTGATGTCTCTCCTTCCCTGGCTTTTAATTTTTTGAACTTTACAACTTTTCTATAATCACGTATTACTTATTATTTTCATAATCAGAAAGAAACTTCTTAATTGGACTTTGCCTTCTTGACAGTCAAGGCAAGAAGGGAAAATCAGTCATTTACATAGTTAGGATCTGAAAGCAGAGAGTGTGCAAATTCCTTCAGGAAAATAACACTTTTTCCAGTATTGGTTTTTATTTGGAACATTAAGCAGTATAATGTACTTTGACCTCAGTATCATTTCTCAGCAAATACACTGACAATGCTCACTAATGCTTTTTGCAGCATTGTTCAAAAAGAGCAAAGAGTGTAAGTGATTTTGGAATGGGCTAAGATGACGTGGTCCAAGAAAACATGCCAGTTAGACGGATTGTGTCCTTAGGCAATTACGCCTAAAGATCGCTGTGAAGCGAGCCCAAGAATGAGTAAGAAGGCAATGACTCCTGGGTCTGGTTTATCAGCACAGAGTTTGAAAATGTGCTCAGAGCTGGCTATGATAGCTTGGAATATCTGAGGATCATAAATAAAATATTTGTTTAAAAAGTTTTGCAATAATATTGTGTATAGTATAACTCCAGAAATGATGAAGTACTTGGCTCAGATGGGTGGCCTTTAGCCTGTATCCAATACAAACTAAGAGCAGGGAACACTAGACATAGAGGGAGACAGTGACATTACCTGCAGGGGTGAAGTATATGTCACTCCAGCTTTATCATCTGTAACAGTGTACTCTTTGATCAAACATTGGAGGTCAAGAGAGTCACCCCAATTGGTAAAAAAAGCTATTGCAAAGCTCTCTGCCATGTAGCTGATCACGGTGATTTTCTTTTGAATCCAAAAGCAAACCCAACTGATTAGCCTTCTGCTAACTCGTTCCTACTGTGACCTTTGTCGGGAGAGTGGTTGTATAATCATTTTAACCCCTGGGCTTTGATGGGAGATTGAGAGCAGAGCATGTGGGATTATATTTCCACTGATAAAGGTCAAGAGTAATGGCATTCAAGGCTGTTGACTGAGGAAAGATTTTATCTGGAAACCAAACAAAAAAGGTGGCCGAGATGAATAGATTGTGAAAATAGAGGAAATAACAGTATTCTTGCTTAGATGAAAGGCCACCGTCAAGTAGCCAGGAGGAACCCAGTTCCTTTTTTACACTATGAACTACAAAATTTTAAAAAATATACAAAAGTAGAAAGAAGAGCATAATGAACCTCAGTTTTAGCAGTGACCAACACATGGCCAATCTTATTCTCTGTCATCCATATCCAAGACACCATATCGTTACAGATGCAATTATGGGGAATCAAAGTATACATTTAACTATAATAAATACATTTCTCAATTGTATTTCCCATGCATGTTATTTCATGAATTTTCACAAGTTGTTTTTAAATACATGTAGGTGGGTTTATTTTGTCTGTCATTGTGTTAAATTTCTTCAGGAAAAGGATTTTATCAGTGTCTCCCTCTGCAACTCTCTCTCAGGACCCAGTACAATGGGGTGGCTGAAACAGTGCTTGATAAATGCTACCCACTGCAAGATACGTGCTGCCATTCTGCTCACCATAAACACTCAGTTTTGGCATCCTCTTTAAGCGTTTTGGGGGCTCTCTGTCTCTGATGGCAGGTTGTGGCTGTCAATAATGTACAGCAGGATGGCAAAATTCAGAAAGCCAATGCTAAATAGAAAGGATTTTAACTTTTGTTTGTTTTATTCCTTTTGTCTTATTCTCAGCACAAGGATGCACTGGGGTCTCTGCTTCTGCTGGAGCAAAGCCCAGAAGGTTTCCTCTCTGCTCAGCCAGAGAGCAGCTCCCACTGCCAGCATTCCTACCTCCTCCTCAACCCCATGTCCACCTCCGGACGGGGCGGTGGGGCTGACTGCAGGGAGAAGGAGTTGAAAACCACTGAGAACAGAGGCCTGTGCTGTTTCAGTGGGAGTTTTGAGGTCACAGGGCAGACAGCCCTCAGCTCGCGTTGGGAGATACATCCCTTCTCACTTGAGCCTGACAGGCACTCACTTAGTGCACATCCAACTTATAACTGAGGAAATGTAAATTCAGAAATTAAACAGTTGACCCAAGATCACTCATCACTTAATGCCAAGATTAGAACTTAAACCCCATTCTTTTGGCTCTAAATCCATTATGCTTGTCTCTGTGCCTCATGACCACCAATTTCCAAAAGCCTTTTTCCTATTCTCTGGTTCAGTCACACTCTCCCACAGGGAAGGAAGGAGGTTCCAACGCAAGGCTGATAGAACACCTCCTCCTCCTATGATGTAGGGCATAAAATTAATTTGTTCAAAAAACATTTATTGACCACTTGTACGAGTTGTTAGGGAAAAGCAAGCAAGCAAACATAAAAATCTCTGCCCTCGTAAAGCTTACAATCTAATGGAAGGAGACAGATACTAAACAAAATAAACAAGTAAAGCACATAGCTCACTAGATGGTGATGGGTACAATGGAGAAAAATGATGGAGGAGAGGGAGATAGAGAGTATTTGTTGGGAAAGGGCTTACGTGGCTGTCTATAGGGAGAACATTCCGGGAAGAGAGAAGAGTAAGTGCCAAGGTCCTGTGGTGGAAGTATGTCTGAATGTTGGTGAAACAGCAAGGAGACTGTGGCTGGCAGAGCACGATTAGGAGAAAGAGCAGTAGGACATGATCTCAGAGAGTATCAGGGAGCCCAGTCATGTCGAGCCTTATAGTCCACGTAAAGACTTTGGCTTCTACTCTAAATAAGATGGGAAGCACTTGGAGATTTTGTGCAGAAGAATGACATGATATGTCTTCACATATTTTAAAACAGTTATGAGAACAGACTGCAAGAGTGAGAAAGCAGTAGCAGGGAGATTAATTTGAAAGCAACGGCAACAATCTTGGAAACAGATGATGATGGTTCGGGCCAGGTGGTAGGCTTGAGGGTTGAGTTGGATTCTGAAGACAGTGATAGAGCAAATAGGATATACTGATAAGTAAGATGTGGGCTGAATCACAGTAGGAGGGGAGGGGCAGAGAGGCCACTGCTCAGGAAGCCTGGGGTTCAGAGTTGGAGTTTCAGCCCCATCTCACATTTATAGCGTTCCCCACGAAACTCTGAAAAGCTTGGGGCCTCATTTTGCACACTACAACAATTGGCTTACACACCCTTCCAACCTCACAAGGCTCAGCTGAATAGGATGTCTGTGCAAAAGTTGGCTTGTTTAGAATTGAAGCAGAGCTCTGTGTGACCTTGTGCAAGTTCATTAGCCTGAGCAACTGTGGTGGGGAGACGCAGGTCAAATCTGGAATAGCTTGAGAGCAAATATAAAACAAAATAAAACAAAAACATTACTGTTGCGACGAATTAATTTAGGAATCTTTATTTTAAAGGAGTTAAATTTCTTTCTTAACGAGATAGGAAAAACCTGATCCGAGAAACTGTTTTAACTGCACCCTTATCCCTAGTTGTAATATGGATTTTGTACTCTTTGAATCTGCATTATGAAATGTCACCTGGTTTATGATTAATTCATTACTAACCCCCTCCCTACCCTAAATCCTCATCTTCACTTTTAGTTTTATTTAAACACAAAAGGCCTTTTATTTTGCTTTCCCCTGTCTCTGAGCAGATTTACTACCACCCTGGAATTTTTCTAAATTTTTACTACGTGATTGAGCTATTCTAAGTGACTCAAATGTTGACAACTTTCCCAATCTTGCTTAACCATGCAAAGCCCAAGCTGCCTTTTTCCAATTCACAAATTCATAAAAAGCACCCCTAAACTGAAAGGTTCAGAGAGTATGAGGGAGTTGGTAAACCCCTCCCAGCGGGGAGAGGGCAAGAGTCACAGGGCACGACTGGTGCTCCACGCGGACCTGTCTTCTCAGCCAGCTGCGTGCTCTGAGTTACCCCTTCCTCCCCCTCTCTTCCTTCTCTATGACCCTCAGTCTTTTCCATCAAAACCTACCTATTCTAAGTTCAAGGCTCTCAATATCCTACAACATAACTGATAAGCCACTTAATAAGCCAATTTACATTGAATTTTTAGTGATGAAGAAGGATTATTCCTAGGGCTCTCTGCATTTTCAGAGGAAGCCCCAGAAAGATAATGGCCTGGCTAGGATTATGGTGGAAGTGTGGGATGCTCAGGCACTGTGAAGAGAGCTGTTTAGTAAGGAGCTGCTTTGAGAAACACTCATGAAATCCTCCCATAAAGCGGTCTCCTCCTTTGCCCGTACTTGAAGGGAGTCTTCAGTATTGTCCCTGAGACCATTTCAGGGTGTCCACGAAGTCAAAATTCTTGCCATAATCACACCAATACATTATTTGCCTTTTTCACTCTCATTCTTTCACAAGTGTGCTGTGGAGTTTTCCAGAAGTTACATGATGTGTGATGTTGACATCACTCTGATGATTAAGAGAATGCATGCCTGTACATTTTTGTTTTTAAAATGTATCAGTTTTAATTTCAAATACGGTAAATATCAACAGACATAATTCACTTTACAAGAAAGCTATTTTGGGTTCTTGATAAGGTTTTTAAGTGTGCAAAGGGGTCCTGAGACCTAAATGTTTGAGAACTGCTGCTTCAACTTGTCGTATCTGGTCTGGCAACTGAGATACCAGACATACAGCAAAACCAAAGGTAGGGTGGCATTTCCTCTTAAATTCAAAACCCTTTGAGCTCAGCGGTGTGCAACAGCTGGTATCTATAAACAAAATCGAAATATCACGAAGAAGGAAGTGCTCCAAAACTGATGGGGGCATGTCAAAAGGACACTGTGTCAAAAGGACACAGGAACCGACAAGAAGGAGCTCCCACTGGCCAGATTAGGGACATCTGATTTGTGACTTTGTGATCAATCAGCAATGTCAACAGCATCTTCTAACAGGTGAGAGATAGAGGGGAGGAGAGAGTTTCACACACAGAGGGAAAATACAAGGATCATCATTAATGTCCACATTTCATAAGAGAGTGTCAGGAACCAAATATTTACAGTTGACACTTTCAATTATTCAGTATCTTAATACAAATATAAAAAATAACACAAAATTAAATAACATATGAAACTTACTAAATATATAAATATCCAATTTAACAGTGAAAACAACAGAAGTTTTAGTTCCTAGGATACTCCCTGGATAAAGACAAGAAAGCAAAAGACACCGAAAAAGCCACTAATTGGGTCTTATGATTACATGAGTTCAAAATTGTCCCGTGAGTTAGAACAATATATGTCGAACAAAGGGATTTGTAAACCGATTCATGCTTCCTCTGCTATTGTGACAAGTTACCTCATAGAAAAAGAAGCCAGGAGGGCTGAAGCATCTGAATTAGCTGTCTACTATTCAGGAATCTCCCAAAAAACTGTTTTTATAATACGTTTATATTAGGTTGAAGTCAGAACGACTAAAACAGGGCTGGGTCATATTACGGGACAAATGGACAGGAAATGCATGCTTTTTAAAAAATGTGAGCTGCTGTCCAAGACTAACACTATTTCTTCTCGACAAAAACAGGTAAGTAAAGTTAAGGTCGCCAATGTTATTTCACAATAAATTCAGTCCCATTTTCATTATGGTAAATGTCACAGAAGTAAGACGAGGAATATCAGTGAAACCAAGGATTCTACAAAGACCACCTATTAGCAAAGCAGTAGCAGGTAGTGACTAGATACCCAGTGATGGGGAAACAGATTCGTGGGCCTGGAACAATAAGGGAAGAAGAGACGATGCAGCAACAGAACGGTGAAAGGTCGTCTCAGAAAAGTTCTTTGGTCCTTAACCTTTCTATATTCTTTCTTCTTTCACTTCTTTCCCTTTGTTTATTCCTTTTTTTTTTTTTTTTACCAGAATTACATGTTTTTAGAGCAGAACGGCAAATGATCTGGTCCAACTCCTTAACTTTCAGGATGCGGACATGGAAGTTCATTGAGATAAAGTAATTAACATAGGGTTGTCACCAGTCGGAGTCAAAGTCAGCCTCTGAGCTGTGGCTCCTGAGTCAAAGTCCGGTATTCTTTCAACAGCACAACACTGCATTGTTTCACAAAATCAAGTCCTACAACAGACTTGAGAGGTAAAAGGATTTCTTCTTGGAATTCACACAAGCACTGGGTAGCTTAGACAACAGTAGAAAGTCTTGAAATTCTTGGACTTTTTTACTCCCACCTCTTTTGCTCTTTTGGTCCCTTGGAGAATGATCCTTTTTCTACTGCTTTCCTCCTCCTCAGATTCAAGTAGACCAGGAAATAACTTTCAGGGCTCTATGTGACTCCTCTAGGGCTCTGGATAAAAGGAAGACAAGAGATTAACACTGAACATCTATAATTTTTATCCCAACAGATTTTAAGAAGATAAATAACAAAGGGTCAATAAACACAGAACTTTCCTTGTGCAGATTTCACTGGCAAAGAGAAGGAAGTAGACATTCCTGACCTTGTGCAATGTGAGGAGACTGTGACTCTCCCTAAAAAGGACACTGGTAAATCTAGGAAACAATGGTTTACAGAACCACCTAAGACTAGAAGTAAAAGAACACGTCCAAGATTTCCAAATGATCTACAGTAGTCCGCCTCACCCAAAACCCCCAGTGGATGTCTGAAACCGTGGATAGTACCAAACCCTAAACATATATATTCTGTTTTTTTCCTATACATGGAGACCTATGATTAAATTTAATTTATAAATTAGGCACAGTAAGAGATTAACAGCAATAACTAATAATAAAGTAGATTATTGCAATATACTGTAATAAAAGTGATCTTTTGAATGTGGTCTCTCTCTCAAAATATCTTACTCTACTGTACTCACTCTTCTCGTGATGATGCGAGACAATACGAGCCCTACATGATGAGATGAAGTGAGGTGAATGACACAGGCATTGTGACACAGGATTAGGCTACTATTGACCTTCTGACAATATGTCAGAAGGAGGATCATCTGCTTCTGGACCTGGGCGATCACAGGTAACTGACACAGCACAAAGTGAAACTGCGGATAAGGGGGGCCCACCGGATGTGTATTTTATTTAAAACCTGGAGCTCTGTTTCCTGTGGGTACTAGCTTGCTGGACATCAGATTGGGGATGGCCACAAAGCAGACAGATGGAGGTCCTTTCAAGAGCTCTTGGTTTTCTACCACATAAACTGGGAAGATGTGGGCCTCCCTTCAAGTCATCTAAACAGTGAAGTAAAAGACCTGAGGTTTTATCTTGGCAACACCTCTCACTCTCTGTGTAATCGTAAGCAATTCTTTACCAGAACCTGCAAAGTTCTACATGTTTTACTCTTGCCAACATTTCCAGTATCAGCTGCGGATGGTGAAAGACACAGAACAGCTCAAGCAAGAATGCCCAGGCCGAAGGGTGTGTAAGCTAGTGACCTTGTGATCAGATTATGTCATGACATCTGGATACGGTGGGTGGTAGTTGCACCCATTCAACGGTAAAATTTTGCAGAAAAATAGCCTTGTAATGCAAGATTTCTCCCAGCAATTCTGACCCCGGCAGTTCGATAAAGGTTGCTTTTCTCATATAAAGCATCACATTCCTTCCGCTTGGAATCACGAGGGTAGGGGTAGGGGTTGTGCGTTACCACTCATCCAGCCTTCATCTGGCAATTTCGTAGCAAAGGAAAGATTCTTATTTTTTTGGAAACGAATATTCTTTGTATTGTCTTTCCAACTAATCACCAATTTCACCATCACAAATCGTTTATTGAGCAGCTCTGCTATTTTTGACGTAGTTTTAAGCTTAAAATAGAAAGTGACATGATCCTACCTGGGATGTAGTGTTTTACTAACATTGGCTTTGTTATCGCAAAGAGCCCATTTATAGGTTAGGTTATTATGAAATGAAGTGAAAGAAATCAAGGTAATTATACAGATAGTGTGGATAAAAAAAATTCTTCCACATGAAACAGCTACATACTCCAAGAAACAGTGAAGTTTGGAATATGCATTTCACATGATTGTCTAACTTTTCTATTGTTTTCCAACTCAGACTTGACTCACCCAAACAAAAGAAAACTGCTACTTAAATAAAGATTCCTAAAAACTAAGTGATTGTCTATGACGATCTGCCCCAAAGTGAAGTTCTTGTTTCTGAGAAGCATATAATCATTGGTGAGTTGACCAATGAGAAACAAAAGATGATTCTCAACCCTAATTTTAACCTCATTGTAGTATATGGGGAAGGGACAAATTTATGACATCAACTGAGTTTTAAGAGAAAGAACTGTTATAAAATGGTGAAAAATTTCCCTAGGAAATTTTAATTTTTTTCTCACTTTCTATTTCAGTAACAAAGTACTGGATTCATGAAAGAAGAAAGAACACTCTTTGAAAACCTATTAACCTATTATCTTCTTGGTGTAGTCTCATGGGAAGTAACTGATGATCCCATCAGGAATGGTGCCAAGAGACACTGCCTCTGACTCGTATACCTTCCTGCAGAGCACAGCTTTACAGCTGAAAAAACCAGCATCATACTCCCTGGCATTAGACAGAATCACAGGGAAAGAAAAGGGAGTCTAACTTCTCTATTAAAATAACATCAGCCATTAGAGATTACCCCTCTGTCCAAAACCTGTAAATTTGCTGATGCTTTTGTGGGCAACGAAGAAGTGATTTTGATCTAAAATAAGCTTTTTTTTTTGTCAATTATCTAACAAAGAGTTGAACTTGACTTAACAGATTTTCCTTACTTATCAGATTTGTCTTAACTACTGGGCAGCTCCACGAGATGATCTTTGTCTACTTATATTTAGAGAACGAATTCACCCCCTTCACACACACACACACACACACACACACACACACATACACACGCATTCAGCTGCTCCCCTCTACTTCCCTATTTCTGTTCCCATCCCCATTTCTTAGGTCACCAGGTCAGAATCTTCATGCCTTTTTTGACTGATCATGTCTCCCTGCCACCCAAAAGTTTTATGTTTTCAGGAGATGATGGCAAGAAAAAGAGAAAAATAAAAAATTTTAAAATAAGGGTAAAAAGAGATGGAAAACAAATGTAATAGGATTATTTACTTTCATCACAAATTGACAATCAGAATTTGTGACTTGAAGAAATAAAAAATGTCACTATTTTCTTCCTTCTTCTAACTTCTTGTATAACGAGCTTTTGTCTTAACAAACCGGTATTTCCTCAGCCTTGAGCACTTAAGTCTCCAGCATAATCAATACTTGGTCTTACTAGCTATTTAAGTATATGGGACCAAATGATCTGGCTGTTAAAAATTTTGAAATCAGCCAAAAAATCCAGTCACTCAAAATATGCCACTGAACCTTAGGTATAATTAACTGAATTGGCCACATGTCATGAAGACATCATCAGGAAATGGCAATTCTAGTGCTTACAAGATTCAGCACAGGTTTGAGTGTTTATTTCATAAATGAGAAAAGGTCTGGGGGCAGAGACAAGCTGACTCTCTTTGCTTCAGGAACTGATAAGGCATTGAACAATTATATTTCCCAGAAAATCCAAGATTTACTTAATGAACAAATGACACTTCCTTTGCAAATGCCCCTTACTAGCGGAATCTACCCTGGCCTTGAATAGATTGTTTTATAAGATTCTTGTCCAGAGGGACTTTTTAAAATGAATTTGAATACTTCACACTTTTTTGCTTGGGCTTTCCAAAAGAATATGGCAGTAACAGCAAGCACAGACTAAAATCAATGCAACAGATAATACTGCCTTTCAAGACAGGACTCCAGAGCATCATGACTAGAACATTCTGGCAGAGGTCAGAAAACCAGGGTTGTAGTCCTAAGCCTACTGTTAACTAGCTGTGTGACCCTAAGGAAGGAAGTCAGCTTCCCTCTCTGGGCTTCAGTTCCTAAGTGGAAAAGTGAAATGTTTGGACAAAGTTGACTCAAATAGCCTTCTGCCTTTGATGGTCTGCAGAGCGCTAACAAATTCTATGGGATTATGTTTATGTGTAATAAGAGTTTGCCTTTCTTACAAAAATCACAAGAATTAATCTGGTGTTTATATAAGGCTTATGGGAAATTAAGGTTCAAAAAACCTAGAACATGAAAGATATTAGTCTATGAGACATAAAATGAAAAGGAAAAAAAGATAGCATTTTAGTGAGAATTTAACAGAAATCTAAAATAAGGCTCAAAGCCAACATTTTTTTCTCTCCTATCTTTCAGTCATCTGAGATGGGGAAAATTCCCATCTCACCCCTTCACCCTAGGAAATTCCCACCACATGCAGTATAAACCACAGCTTTGCACTAGATTTTATAAATTGTCTTCAGAAACAAAAGAAATTCAATTCTCTCTCTCTAGCGTCTTTATAGCGTCTCTTGTCTTATAATGTCTCACAATGTTTTAGACTCAGCATTTATGAGGTACTGAATTTACAATAAGAAAAATGGAGTTGAAAAAAATCACTTTGAAAATCTATCTGTTCATCCAACCACCCATCCATCCATCCATCCATTCCATCATTATTTTAATGAACGTTTATTGAGCACCTGGTATACGACACGATAGATGTTGTAGGAGATAGAGAGAGATTTATAGTCTGTCAGAGCAGAATGACATGACACAGTTATTGTTAGTATGGATCACCTGCATCTTGCCAATGGTGTTTGAGACATAGTGAGAGTATAACATAGAAAGTACTACTTAATAGTACTTAATAATACATAGAAAGTACTACTAATAGTACAGATCAGACAATTTCACAGTCTCTTAAATGGAGTAGCTAGCCTGTGGAATGTAAACAGAGAAGAGATGGTCCCTTTCATTAATGGGTAGAAAGAACACAATGTGGGTGCCAAGACCCCTCCTCTGTTTTCTTTTTCCCTTCTTCTCCTCAAAGACCCCCAGTACACAGTTGTATATTCTAGTTGTAGGTCCTTCTAGTTCTGCTATTTGGGACACCACCTCAGCGTGGCTTGATGAGCTGTGCTAGGTCCGTGCCCAGGATCCGAACAGGTGAAACCCTAGGCCACCAAAGCAGAGTGTGCGAACCTAACCACTCGGTCATGGGGCTGGCTCCCCTCCTCTGGTTTTGCCATCAGACAATTCCATAGTGATCAGGTAAACATTTTCCATATTTTCTCTCATCAATCCTTATTCTCAATTTACAAAATAATTAGCCTTTAAATGGTCTTAGCAAATGAAAAGCAGAAACATCCAGTTTAAGGTCCAACTACCAGAAAATGACACAAGTCTTTTAAAATACCACCAACATTTGTGTATTTGAGAAACACCAAACAAACACATTTTGCCATCTCCTTAGTTATATCTTCAAGTGACCTCCAAATTGTCATTAAAAAATCATTTATTTTCTTCTTTGTACTCCCTGTGATGACTCACCTCGGTTTTGGTTCCGACGACGTTTCCAGTATAATAAGATTGAGATTAAAACCAGTAGAATTACCAAGGAAACAATACTTAACAACAGTGGAACTGAAAACCAAATACCTATATTGAAGGGAAAAATAAAGTCATTAGACAATGGTGTTAAGGAAAAAAGTGATAAAGCAATAACAGTTGTGATCAGTTTTCACTTGAGTTGAACTTTCAATGAAAATTATCCTTAAAGATACACATATTGAAGTCTATATTCATGACTTCATATATTAATAACATTAAGATAATAATAATCACCAACATGTTTTATGTGGTTACTATGTAATAAGAACTTTGAATGTGTTATCTCATTTAATCCTCAAAACACCCCTAGAATTAGGCATTATTACTATCATCTAACAGATTTAAAAAAAAAAAAAAGCTGAGGCTCAGAGAAGTTAAGTAAGCCCCAAACCAGCGAGGTAAGTGGTAGAGCCAAGGATTGATCAGAGGTCTGTTTGCCTCCAAAGTGCCTATTTTTTGCTATACTGTCCATTAAAGTAATATGTTTATTGAAAAAGTTTAGGGAAATACAGAGAAATATAAAGGAAACAGTCATGAATCTCACGATTTCAACTCCTGGGAAAAACTTATCTCAAGGTTTTTATTGTATTTCTTCTAATCTATCACTTTGTTATTAAATCTCTTTCCAATAGTCAATAAACGCTACTCAGCCTGAATATCAGCTCCTCGCGGTCTGTTTGTAACACAAAGGCAGAGGCAGAGCTCCCTGACTTGGAGTCTCCAGCATCTTCTCCATGGCTCCAGAATGGGACCTGTCACATCATAATTTGACTGAGCACCTGAAGGAATGTGTCTAACTTCAATAGTCCTAGTGCTTGACTTAATGCTTTAAGCACGGATGATTTTTAGTAAATGTTTGCAGAAAGAACAAGTATTATACAAATGATATGTAAACATTGTAAATAATATGTCAATTTTGGCATTCTGGGAAAAGAAGACTTGTTCCTTTTCAGGTTCTTGTTTTTCAGGGAAATTTACCCATTGCCTTCGCTGACTCTGAGGTTCTCTTCACACATGTCCAAATCTAACACCACAAACCTTTTGATCAAATTTACCTAAAGGTCTACTTTTTGATTAGTCTGTTTTTTCAGGGACCCCAGAAATGGCTACACGAGATGTTCCTTAGAGGCCAATAAACCAACGAGTAATACATGGGAAAGCTCTTCCAGGTTTAATTATTCGAAACACCCCACCCCCCAAAAAAGGCAGTAACACCTTTTTAGGAGGCTTATTCCTGACTGCTTGATCCAGAGTTAGTGCCTCAAAAGCACACAGAGAAAGAACACTGGCTGTTATCACTGAAGTGTCTTATCTCTAAAACCACTGCTCCCTTGATTTTCTCCTCTTCTCTTACTCACAACCCTCACCTCTTGGATCAATGAGGTCCAAAGACAGCAGTTTAGAAAGGAACACAAGAAAGCAAAAAGGGTCTCGAACAGGAGGAAGTTTGTCTTAAAAGGGGTGAGGAAAACAAACACCTCAGCTCGTTTCCTAAAAGCTCTAATGCCCCTTCCCCACAGTGTAGATTATGCAAAAGTTTCATCATAGATGTCGCTTCTCCCAGGAAATCCTCCTGATCCTTCAAGACTGAGCTGATGCCACTCCTCCCAACCCTCGAGCCCCCTATGGTGCACCATGGATTTCTTACTGAAGCATTGACCACACAGTTTTACAATTGCCTAGCCACTTCACCGTATTCTCTAGTAGACTAGAAGCTCTCTGAGTGCAGGACTGAGTCTGGCTCACTGTCACATGTCAACTGTCGCAAAGCCTGGCACACAAAAGACACTCAGTGAATGTCAGCAGCGTGGAAGATTAAATGAATGGACAGATCTCAGCAAAAGCACTTGGCATGTGGGGAACGTGCCGCATTTACCAAAGTGAAATCGGCTTTATTGGCTCCCTCAACTCTGTTTTTCTTTCCCTACTTAATCTGCTTTCTCCCTTATTAGCTCCTTTGCTAAGAGGCCGAGAGGGTCTGCAAAGCATTGCCCACCTTCCATGTCAGTGTACACAATGTAACCACAGCCCACTTTGCCCACCTTCTCTTACCTTTGCTCACAGTTTCCCTGAGGTTGGTCACATTCCCCAGGTGCCACACTTGGCAGATCACCTCCTTCCCCAACTGACTCTTGGGGTCTTTGACCTGGAGGACGCTGGTCACAGACGTGGTCCCATTGGAGTGTGAGAGAACCTCACTACTGTTCTCAATCTCCGACCCAGAGATCTTCCAGAAGATCTGAGGGGGTGGGCGGGCATTGGCAGAGCAAGTGATATTTAGGTGGTCGTCAAAGAATTTATAGTGAAGGAATACTGTGGGCTGTACTGGGACAAAAAAAATGATAGTCTGCCATCAGTTAAGCACCTGGTATGAGGGAAAGATTTTTATAGAAAGACAGCGGGGGCTAGAAAGACAAGGAGGCACATCCAATCCAAACTGGGACCTTCTCAGTTCTCCCTGCGTCTAAGTCTCTGACTGGCAGGATGGAGACTGGCCTGGTACAACCCTGTGACTACAAAGATGCTCTCTGTAGTTTGTCTCTAGGAGAATTAGCTGGATGGACAGAGGGTATGTTTTATCCCAAACAGTCCAGGGCCTAATTATTCTGCTCTCTATTTCCATGTGCAATACATATCTCCACCTTCTTCTGGGTATCCCTCTCAAATAGTTTGACAATAACCACCAATCAGCACCTCCACATAAATAAGTAGCCTGCACTTCTCAGAAGCAACAAGGCAGTTTCAGAACAGAGAGCCTGCAGACAGGCTGCTGTTTAGAGCTCCTTTTTCTGCTTAGGACCAGTGAATGAGATGCACGGAGGAGAGTGAGAAAAGTCCCTGTTTGGAATATCTACACAAAATGTAAATTACAAATTCATAGCCAATAACCAGAAAATCACAGAATGACAGTTGGGAAGACCTTGGAGATCACCTGATTGAGTTAAAAGAACATAACTAGCTTATGAGAAAAGGACATTATTCTTAGGACAGCTGTACCCTGTTCCTTTTGAAAAGTCCCTTGACTAATGAGTTCATTTTCATTGAAATATGCAGTTTATCTCTGCTGAGCAAATACAGACTCTTCTTTTGTGTTTGACTTTGGAGCCCAGAAGATAATCAAAGGGCAAGGCTAAATGAAAGCCTGGTCTGTGCTCAGAGGTTCAAGAGGTGAGGGGTGGCAGTGGGCTGGAGGAAACTGGCTACAGGACTGTGGCTCTGTTCACAGTGCCCAGATTACTAGCGTCAAAGAGCACTAGAGGAAGAGAGACAAAAGTGAAGGAGGATGAATACGGTTGACGTGGCCAGACTGGGCGGCAGTGTTCTCGGGTGTATCAAAGAACGGCTTAGATGAAAGCTATAAGGTGTGGCTGGAAAGAGTCAGTGTGGAAAGGAACAGGATTACTAGCTAGAAGACTCAGAGTAGTCTGGTTTTCAGGTGAAAAATAATACAAAAGGTTATGAGTAAAGGAGGAGGAAAAGAAAGATGAGCGAAAAAGAGAAAGAAAAGAAAAAGGAACAGAAATGGGAAAAATGTGACACAAGAAGAAAGAAGAAGAAAAATGAGATAGGACAAAGGATGGAAGGATGGGAGGAGGGAAGGAAGGAGGATTGGGGGAGGGGAGAGAGAACGACAGGGAGACAGAGAAAGACAGAGATTCAGAGACAATGAAACAGAAATCAGGAAGAAAGCCTGACGTAAGGTCCTGCAGAGATGACTCAATTTAGGCAAAACAAGTGAAAGAACCTTGTTTGTATTTGGTGCTTAACTGCATCCTTAACTACTGAGCCTCTTCCTAGCCCACATCCAATATGCTTGGCGTGCTCAAACTCTCACTTTAACATTCCTAATAACCCTGTATAAGCTTGTCTTTTCCCTTCTAAAACTATCACCAAGTGTGCCATGCTCCAAAGTTACCCCTTATTCCCACTTCTCAATTCTCGATCTCAGCTACACGTCAGCTGAGAGGAAAGGGATCTCGTCAATGAAGTGTCTGGCTCTGTCCTTAGATCTAAAAATATTAAAGCTGTTAGAGACCTTAGAGATGACCTATTTCACACTTATTGTGCAGATAAATAAACTCTGGGGCAGAGAGTGGACAGGACTCTTCTAGGGTCACATGATCACTAATGGCAAAGCCAGATCTAAATCATACCACTGCTTACGGAGAACCTGTCCTCACCATGGTCCTTAATTTACTCTTGTGCAGGATTCCTCAGAGTAACAATAACTCCAGGCAGAGACTCAGTGTAGCTCCATAAACTCTCCACAGTTAGAGTAGACATGAAAGGCTAAGTGTCTACTCATGAATCTTTCTGGGGCTAGAATCCTGAAGGACTAGGCACTACCACTATTAAACATTCTTGAAAATAACATTTCTAGCCAGAGACAATGTATTCTCAGAGACTCTCACCAGAGAGGGTAAGGCAGGCTACTCCTGAGATCTTCCCGGAACCAAAGGTATTGAAGAGGCAATTGTAACACCCCTCATCCTCCAGGGTGGTATTCCAGAAGGTAATGGTTGAGTTCTGGAGTCCTAGCTGAGTGATGTTTATCTTGTCTTTATAAGCAGGCTGGACCACAACCCCGTGGTCCTTGCTGAAGGTGATCATGTTTTCTGGGATCGTAGGCTTGATTTTCTGCCATGTCACAATCAAGACTTCCTGGGAAGTTTGCAGGGAGCATTTTAAGGAAGCAGGTGTGTTCAGCAGCACTCTTTCATCTTGGGTCACCACTTTCATCATGGAATCATGAAAGAACATTTATATTTTAAAATTGAATTCATACACAAATACACATTTTTCTGCTTTACAACATGCATGTTCAAAGTTAAATATAGAAGAGATGGGGAAAATGAAAAGAAGAAAACATCTATCAACATTCCTGATGTCACTAGAGAAATGTAAGTTCAAATATGTTTATTCAATCTTTATGGGTAGCAGAGTAGGAAAACAAGACAGCAAACTCTCAGTGACCAGAAATTGCGTAACCAATCCCTGTAAGCTGGAAAGCAGGTGGAACGAGGTTGAAGATGAAAACTGCCAGGAAGGACAGAAGCATCACCAGGTGTGTTCATGCCCGGAGAGGTGGAAGCCAGGAGCAGGAAAGGGCCGATGGGCAATAGGCAGAGTGATTAGTTTATGAAGAAGATGGAGCAGCCCTAAACATTCCACACACACTCTGTGAGGGAAGGGACAGCAGGAGCAGCGTCTGCCTCTAGGAGGCAGTGGTGAATATAGGAATATAAGGCAGAGAGACATACATGACAATGTTCAGGAGGCAGACAGTACCAGAGAGCTGTGACAACCAAGTGACAACCTACACATTCCCTCCAATTTTTACTGAATGCAGTGCAGAATATAAGGCATGGCAAAATCTTCTTCCCCCTCAAATGCTGGCTACTCATATTGATAGGACAGGTGATTCAATGGGAAATCTCAATATAATAACAAATTGCCAACATTTGAGAAAGCTGACACAATGAAAGAGGAATAACAAACTACAAATTCAAGAACTCATACCAAATGAATGAAGAATCATAAATCAAGAAACACTTTGACATCAATAAATGTGATATCGTAAGCATAAAAAGAAGCCAGCATTATAAATAGTAGAAATTGGAACAGATGGGCTGGCTTAGCAGAATGGGGGTCACTGAAGAGTAAATCAGTAAGTAGGAAGACCAAGTCACAGAATTTTTCCAGAATGAAGCACAAAGGGATATGGAAGGCACTAAAGAAAAATTCAAAGAGCTGGAATGCTTCAATATCAGCCCAATAAGACTTTCAAACGGAAAGAAAAGGGAGAATGGAAGACAAAAATACTGTGAGGGACAAAAAGGTATTTTTCAAAATGATAAAAGGAGCAATCTAAAGCAAGACATATCAATCATGAACCTTCACGCGTCTAACAACATAACTCCAAAATATATAAAAAGTTAATAGAACTACAAAGAAAACTTATAAATCCACAATCGTTATAGGAGAGTTTTCCATAGTTCCTTCAGAATTTTCACTTCCAACATATTAAAAAAATAAGTAAAGGGAAAAGGTCAAATACAAAGATACAGAAGATTGAAAAACAAATATATATAAATTACGTATGGGTGTGTATATAAGTATGTATTTCTAAGTTTTTTCCCAAAAAAGCACATAAAATCTTTTCAAATAACATGTAGAAATCTTTTCGATTTCCCCAAAATTGAACTTGAGATGGGATACATAAAAAGCTGCTACCCTAAGACCTTGAACATCATCCACAAAGTTAAAATTAGAAGTTTACATACTTCTTTTAACTCTGATTACACCAGAAATCATAGTAAGAATTATAAATTACCATGAATGACAATGAAAATATAATACATTAAAATCTGTAGAAATTGGTAAAGTAGTTCTCAGAGGGAAATATTTAATCTTAACTTGACTTCTTAGGAAAGAAGAGAGATTAAAAATGAATACACACATATACCCAAACATCCCACCGCCCCTCAAAAATAAAAGGACTGAATTAACAAAGATAAAAGCACAAATTAATGAAATAATACACAGATGCAGACAATAGAAAACATCAAATCTGCTCTTTTAAAGACTGATAACATAGATAAAATGTTGGCTGTGTGATTAGAAAAAAAGACAGCAGCATGAATATTTCCTCCCAGCAACCCCTCAACATCATCAGGGGATGAAAAGATGGGCAGAGCAACAAATGCAAAGTGGAACGCCGGAGCTTTGCCCGAGTCCAGTCTCAGCGAGCTGTGCTCTGGGTGGATGTGAAAAGTTCTGGGGGCAATACCTGTTGTGAGGAGTGGGGTTCCCTAAAAGTGTGTTGAGATTATGCAGAGCAGAGAGTGGAAGGAATTGCCGCTTTTAGAATGGAGGGTCAAAAAGAGATCAAAGCTGGAGTTTTAACTTCTCGGGTGATTGATCTCTTTGACTATGGAAGAAATAATTTAGGGGAAGGTTTACAATTCTTTGCTGCTTCTATGGAATTCCACTTAGATTGTTCCAGTCAGTCGGTAAATCCTGGATTGTAGATGATGCGAAACCTGCCCTGTGAGGGCTGATGCAGACCAACAGCACACAGAAGGTGAAAGAAGTCTGGCAGTCAAGTGAGGGGTGGCCTCCCATGGAACAGAGGAGAAAAGTTTGGCACAACGGGGAAATTCAACAGATAAGTAGACAGCACAGGTACATGCTTTATATAATAGATTTTATGAACCTATGAGACCTCTATATTTCATTATTTTCTACACTTTCCTGTAAAAGAGGAGGACACCCTATTTTAAGGCTTACTGCCAGATTACCTTCCCAAAAAGGCTGTATTCATTCTTCCTCCCCCAAGCATTCCCATATCTTTACAAGCATAAGGAATTATTATTTTAAAAGTTATTCGATTTGAGAGGTGAAAAATGATATGTTAATTTACAAAGAATTTTTTCATGTCTGGTTTTGTCTACCAAAACAGTTTCTAAACGTCACTCTTCTTCCACTTTGAAAACAAAAAAATGTGGAAAGCAGAAAGAACCAGTCGCACTCCTTCAAGCGAATTACATATTTAAATAATTCATCAGATAAATGCACTAACACAGCGCAAGCAACAGTGGCCACAGGTCTCCACTCCAGGAACTGTTTTCCCTGGACTCCAAGCAGGGGAACTGAGTATCTTTTACCTTGTGCCCTGCATAGCATCATTGCTGCCAAGAACCAAACCAGTCTGTAGGTAGACAGATGACAGAAGGACCTCCTGAACACCTGAAGACAGAAAGCAAAGTTCAGAAATGGGTGTTTGGGTGTGGACAAAACAAAGGAAGCTTCAATCTAAATGTTATTTCAGGCATTGCTGCAGCTAAAGCATTAACCACCAGAAAACTCTGGTTTTGTGTAAGCAGAAACAGAGACTATAAATGGAAGTAATAACAGAGTGTGCTTAGGATCCGGGAAGAGAACAACAGCAGGGTGGCTCCTTCACCATGGCAATCCTTAGCAATTTGAGGCCCTGCTCCTGAAGCCACCATGGTCAAGACCAAGGTCTCAAAGATCTCTGGGGAAAGCAAATAAATAGACACAGAAAAACGAGAGACTACAAGTGGTAGAGAGCATCCATTTCCAAAATATTCCACACCTGTTAATATTAAAAACACAACTCAGGAGTACTCACTTTTCAGAAACATGTGACTGCCTTGAAGCTTGCTGAGGTTGATTTTTCTGTAAAATTTGCAAATTTTACATAAATTATACCCTTTAAAAAGCAGTAGCGGCTTTACTTTTTCCTTCATTGCTTTATTTTCATACATCTGGGCAGAAATCCTTGGCCATTCTACAAATCACAGTGGTACTTAAAGGAATGTTATTCTGGGTACCACTTTACTATAAAATGGAAGGGTGGAATGTAGCCAGATTACCTTCTCTCTGCAGTAGCCCCACGATCCACTGACTTAATCTATGTGTGTGTGTTCATTGTAAGGGGTACAGGCAAGAAATGTAGCTTTTCCTTATATTTTTTTCTTTATTTCTATATTTTTCTATAATAGAGGTGTGTAAGAAAGGTTTCTCTAGTATTTTTCCTTAACTGATCTTCATATTTTGAACTTTACTTGTATTTCATGTTGCCATTTCAACTACAGGTAGAGACTTCATTTCAGTCAATGTCGCAGAATCTGTCAGTTCAGCCCACTAACTCTTCATGATTGCCCCAATCTCTGGCACTGCATCTACTTCCCCGGGGGCTTACATACTGCCTAGCGGTGGGACAACTGTTATCCTTGGTTACAACCATCTATCCATGCCGGCATTCCTTAAGACAGCTGTGTTCCCTTCAGGTCATCGTGGTCATCGGTTTGTGCAGTGAAAGCTTGAGCTTACAGTGTTCTTTCGATTCTCCTGATTCCGTGCTCCTTGATTCTCCCTGCGCTGGGCAAATGAAAGTTCTACATGGCTCTCTGTCTAGACTCCCACGTATCAATTCATCTCTGTCTTACTGTTCCCTTGCTATGATGGGTAGGCTGGCCTCTTCTCACAGGTACCCCTGGGAAAGTAAGGCACAGGTGCTTTCTGTTCTCAGATTGTAACACCCACCTGTGACTTCTATTTACTAACCTCCTGAACTCCCCACTCTTGGGGGCCTGGTACAGGGGACCTCCTTTTCAGGACACAACTGGTGTCTGAGCACAGACATTCATCATCCCTTCTGGCTCTCTCAGCCTAGAAAATACTTATTTCCCTTGGGGTCAGAAAAGCTGGTTCCTCCATCACCCTGCGCTCTTCCTGTCAACTCTTTCTGGGGTGAACATATGGCTTGGTCTTTCAGCATTTAGGCTTTTAAAACTCAAATGCTTAGGTTCTTGTTATTTCAAAACTTTGGCTTCTGGAACTAAAAAGTCTTCTTTGCCATTCTAATTCCACATCAGTTTTCTTTAAACCAACATGCCTCTCCGTCACATGAAAAATCCAAGCTCTAGCAAAGGCTATAATGAGGAATACAGAATGGATCGGCTCTCATAGTGACAATCTGCTTTAGGACAAGAAAGAGAGCAGACACATAGCAAAACATAAAATGCGTGAACAGAGGCCCGCAATATTTAAGGAACAAAAACAGTGATTGAGGCAAAGGGAACAGAAGGAAAGCCTTGTTATTAAATATATACATATTTACTCTGGCTGACTTGAGTTTGGGCTAGCACAGATACTAGATGTGTGAGCGAGGATAAATGATTTTACCTCTCTAAGATGCAGGAAAAATAGTAATACCAACCTGTCTGTTAAAAAGACTAAATGAGGTAGCATATGTACAGCTTCTAGAATAGTGACTGATACAAATAAGCACTAAATGAATGTTGCCGTTACCTCATTGGGTTACTATGAGAACTAAGCATTTAAAGCACTTACTACAGCGCTTAAGATACAGTAAATGCTAGTACGTGCTAGGTAGGTAAAAAAATTCATCATTAATCAAATCCTATATGCAGAGTACAACAATGCGAATGGAGTAGGCCACTTATAGCCTTGCCAAGAGAGCCAGGGTTCACAGAGGCTTACTCTTACCTGATAGCTGCCCACCTGGGAGCTACACAGCCCCAGTACATACCTCTTTCCCCAAAGTTTCTAGGTCCAAATCCTGATCCCATCACATGCAGTCACATGGACTTGGAAAAATTAACCTCTCTGCCTGTTTATTTATTAGTAAAATCGGGTATTCCTCCTTTGAAGCACAGTTGTAAAGATTAAGAGCATCTGGCACGCGGTAAACACTAGGTTACAGGCCACTATTGTCCTTTGTTATGAAAGATATTGAAATAACTGGCTGTGTGGTCTTGCCAATACATTATACATGAAAAAAATTCCCGTGAGGCATTACTTGTATTTGGATTTTAATTTTTGTTTTTTTAAAAATTATACCAACGTCAATGAAAATCCTCCCCTTCATTTCGTGTCGTGTAAATAGATCCTGAATAAACAAAATGTCTGTCTCGGATACCCTGGGTTTTAACCCTCATTTATCTGCTCCTTTATGGCTTCCCAAGGCAAAGGCCCAGAGGATGGAGAAAGAGGCCGGAGCATCAAGGAGGGAGAGAGCTCTCTTGGAGAGAGCGAGGCCCAAATTCGGCAACCCCACCCTAGCTTTTGATGCCAACAGAGTCAACACAGCACCCGCCGCCCCCCCTTCCTGGGTTTAAACTAGGATGCGCTGAAGGCAGTGAGCGCCCCTCCCCGCCCAGTTCCCCTCCGAGGTTGACAATGATCGGAAGAAGCATCTTCTGAGACCTAGGCTGGCAGCATCCTTTCACCAGCGGATTGAGACGGAGAACCAGGACGCCAGGAACGGCCTGCGCGCCACCCTTTGGAAGGCAAAATCGGCTTCTCAGCAAGATTAAGCGTTGAGAGGAAAGCGCTTGCAGACCCCAGCTGCCAACCGACCCCGGCGAGAGGCAGCCAGGCGCGCTCCCCACGCCGCCCAGGGGCCCCTGGCGCCACATCGCCCACCCTGCGTCTCCTTCCCATGCCCGACCCCGCTCACCAGTCTCTCCATTCTCGCTGCGAGCCACGCGGGGGGCCTGGGTTCAGCTGGGAAGCCCGGGGGATCTCAAGCCTCTCTGAGCTGGGCGGCCGATGAGGCGTAGCTTTACAGACAGGGCCGCCCCCTCATCCCGGATCTCTCCTCCCCCTCAAGTTCTATCCACCAACACGGGGCAAAGAAGACCGGGCGGACTTTCCGATTTAGTCTAAATGCCATTACGCTGTGTTTCTTATCTTTAAAACGTTTTCCCTTTTTCTGAGGTGGCAATTTGGAGAAACTGAGGAAGTGAAAAAAAACCACTTATTCCATTTCATTTTACAAGGGCCGAGAGAGATCGGAAACCGGGGAGGTTGGGAGACGTCAATACATTAGGGCTGGGGAAATGGTAACCTGCGCTTTTGAGCGGGCACGCAAGGAAATTAAGATTTTTGAGAAACGCTATTGTTCCCCTAAACGTCACCTATGAAAATGAAAACTGTTTTGAGGCTGAATTTAATCAATAGACACTTTAAAAAACAAATGCACACATGTTTTTATCCAGAAACAAATTATATTCAAGCAGTCAATGATCCGTCCTTTCATGATGTGACCTTTTTTTTCTTTACTGTGAGGAATTTCCTTCGCTTGCGTTGATGATGAGGATTCTTCTTATTTTAACAAGTTCCAGGGTTCTTGGCTCTTAAAAAGAAAAAAAAAAGGTAAATGAAATGCTCCTCTCCTGAAGCTTTTTCTGTTTTCCTACCACTACCCTCTGACAAGCTGTGGGGACAGAGCGTTTACCTATGCATCCATGGGGCTGTAAACCCAAGGACTGTAAATAATAAAATCATGACTGAATTTTTTCCAGAAAAACAGAAATATGAAATACACATATTGAAAGGACTCAAAGACTCAGGGAGGGCCAAGCAGGATACATGAGAGAAAGCCAACTTACAGACATCCCATAGTGAAATTAAGATCAACTTAAGAAAATCGAAGTGGAAATTCTAAAAGCTTCACGATGAAAAGAGAGAGACACAAAAGAAAAAGAATCAAAGGGACATTAAATGTCACAATGCACTGCTGGATACAAGGTGATGAGTTAATTTTCAGTGTTAAAAATATCTTTGAATTCCACTTTGCCTTTTATAAATATTGCTACACAGGTATAGTTAAAATAAAAAACAAACACTTCATGTGTGTGTGCGCGTGTGTGTGTAAGATGCACCCTGAGCTACATCCATTGCCAATCCTCCTGTTTTTTTGCTTGAGGAAGATTAGCCCTGAGCTAACATCTGTGCCGGTCTTGCTCTATTTTGTATGTGGCTTGATGAGTGGAGTAGGTCCACAGCTGGGATCCGAACCTGCGAACCTGGGCTGCCTAAGTGGAGCATACGGAAATTTAACCCCTTGACAATGGTGCACACCCCCACTTGTTTTTAATTAAACATAACATTGATAGAGGAAAGTGCATACATCGTAAGTGCACAGCTTGAATTCTCATAATCGTGCCCTAGGACTTCCAGTTCCATGTTGAATAGAAATGGCAAGAGTGGGCATCTTGCCTTGGTCCTGATCTTCGAGGGAAAGCTTTCAATTTTTCACTGTTGAGTTTGATGTTAGCTGTGGGCTTGTCAACAGAGCCAGAAGTAGATCCAAACACTGAACATGCTTTAGCTCTCCAAAGCTCCTTGGATTCCCTTTGCCTGCCCTTCCTGTCACTCCTACCCTCCCACCACTCAGCTACTTTTGACATCATAGACTAGGCTTGCCTACTTGTGAACGTCATATCAATGGCATTATAGAGTATGTCCTCATTGGTATCTGGGTTCTGTCACTCAAGAATAGATTTGAAATTCTTATTGCTGTTATTTGCGTGTAGTTGCAGTTCATTCAGTCTTACTGCTGTATTCTATGCCATTCTGTAAATTCCATGTATTACATTTATTTATCTGTTATACTGTTAACAGACATTTGTTTGTTTCCAATTTGGGATTATTTTTAATAGTGGTAGGCTAAACATTCTTATACATGGCATTTCATGAACATAATGTACACCATTATGTTTATTATTTTTTATTTTTGCCATATATATCTTTTCCTATTGTTTTATTTTTAATCTTCTTCTATTCTTTTTTTTTACAAGTGTGTAGATGATATTTTGTAGATGATTATGCTGGAACTCAATTTATGAAATCTACTGAAAGACTCTATCCTAGATTTTATGAGCAAAATACTATAAAATTACAGGATGGAAAAAAGATTTTTATCAAGCATATAATTCTCAGAAAATTTACTACATCAAGACTCTCCTTGAGAACATTTTCGAAAGAAGTGTTCTAGAAAAAGGAAAAGTTAATCCAGGAGGATGTTCCATAGAAAGATATGTAGAAAGGACAAATACATTATTAAAATTTATAATTGCCTTAAAAAAGCAAGGTCCTCAAAATTGTCTCTCTTCCAATCCATGAACAAGGGATGTTGTTCTGTTGTGTCTTCTCTAATTTCTTTCATTAATGTTTTTGTAGTTTTCAGTATACAAATCTTTCACATCCTTAGGTAGGTTTATTCTTAAGTATTTTATTCCTTTTGATGCTATTGTAAATGGAATTGTTTTTCCTAATTTCCTTTTCAGATAGTTCATTGTTAGGGTATAGAAACACAACTGATTTTTGTTTGTTAGTTTTGTATCCTGCAGCTCTACTGAACTTGTTTGTTCTAAAAGTTTTTTTATGGAGTCTTTAGGGTTTTCCATATTTAAGATCAGGTAATCTGAAAACAGGGACAGTTTTACTTCTTCCTTATTGATTTCTATTTATTTCTTTTTCTTGGCTAGTCGCTTTGGCTAGGACTTCCAGTACCATGTTGAATAGAAATGGCAAGAGTAGGCATCTTGCCTTGGTCCTGATCTTAGAGGGAAAGCTTTCAATTTTTCACTGTTGAGTTTGATGTTAGCTGTGGGCTTGTCATATATGACCTTTATTATAATGTCCCTTCTATTCCTAGTTTGTTCAGAGTTTTTATCATGAAAGGGTGTTGAATTTTGTCAAATGCTTTTTCTACATGTAGTGAGGTGATCATTTGATTTTTATCCTTTATTCTGTTAATGTGATGTATCACATTAATTAATTTTCAGATGTTGAACAATTCTTCCACCACAGGGATGAATCCCACTTGGTCACGGTGTGTGAACCGTTTAATGAGTTGTTGGATTTAGTTTGCTGGTATTTTGTTGAGGATTTTTACATCTATATTTCTTAGGGATAGTGGACAATAGTTTTCTTTTCTTGTGTTGTTTTTGTCTGGCTTTGATATCAAGGTAATGCTGGCCTCATAAAATGAGTTCAGAAGTGTTTTCTCTCCTTCAATTTTTTGAAAGAGTTTGAGAAGCATTGGCATTAATTCTTGTTTAAATGTTTGGTAGAATTCATTAGTGAAGTCATCTAGTCCTGGCCTTTTCTTTGTTGGGAGGTTTTTGATTACTGACTCAATCTCCATACTAGTTATGGGTCTGTTAAGATTTTCTACTTCTCCATGATTTAGTCTTGGTAAGTTGCATGTTTCTAGGAATTTACCCATTTCTTTTAGGTTATCCAGTTTGTTGGTGTATAATTTATCATAGTAATCTCTTATGATCCTTTTTATTTCTGTGGCATTAGCTGTAATGCCTCTTCTTTCAGTTATTATTTTATTTATTTGAGTCTTCTCTCTTATTTTCTTAGTCTAGCTAATGGTTTGTCAATTTTGTTTATCTTTTTAAAAACACAACTCTTAGTTTTGTTGATTTTTTTCCATTTCATTTATTTCTTCTTTAATCTTTGTTCATTCCTTCCCTCTGCTAACTTTGGGCTCAGCTTTTTCTTCTTTTTCTAGGTCCTTAAGGAGTGGAGTTAGGTTTTTTATGCAATTCCTATCAAAATTCACAAAGAATTTTTTTAACAGAAGTAGAAAAAACAATTCCAAGGTTCATATGGAACACAAAAGACCACGAATAGCCGAATTAGTCTTGAGAAAGAAGAATGAAGCTAGAGACATCACATTTCTTGATTTCAAAATATAGCACAAAGCTACAGTAATCAAAACAGTATGGAACTGTCATAAAGACAGGCATATAGACCAATGGAACAGAATAGAGAGCTCAGAAACAAATCCACACGTGTATAGTCAACCGATCTTTGACAAGGGTGCCAAGAACACAATGGGGAATGAATCACCTCTTGAACAAATGATGCTGGGAAAACTGGATATTCACATGCAAAAGAATGAAATTGGACCCTTATTCTACACCACACACAAAAATCAACTCAAAATAGATTAAAGACTTAAATGTAAGACCTGAAACTATAAGACTCCTAGAAAAACCCATAGAGGAAAAGCTGCATGACATTGGTCTTGGCAATGATTTCACGAATGTAACACCAAAAGTACAGACAACAAAAGCAAAACTAGACAAATGAGACTATATTGAGCTAAAAGTCTTCTGCACAGTAAAGAAAATAATCAACAGAGTGAAAGGGAAACCTACAGAATGGGGGAAAATATTTTCAGGAGTCCTTAGAAGATGTAAAACGCATCACAACCACCAAATGTTCGTTTCTCACCTTCATTAATGACTTTTAAGAGTGTAACCTATTTGTGTGTGTTACAGATATGTAACAGGAAACAATTGCTCAGAGGTACTGACAAGTAACTCCAGGGTAGGTGGAAACATTCAGTCGCTCTCAGGGTTTGTCCTCCATCTGAATCTTGGAGGTCTTGCCTCAGCCCCAAAATGCTTGCAGAGGAGACTGTCCTTATTTCTTCCAATTACAGTCATATCATCTGGCCTAATGAGTTTCTAAAACTAGTTTTACTTTTATTTATGGCATGTTTCCTGATGTATTTTTAAATTAATCAGTGCCAGTAATAAAAGATAACATGACCCACGCAAAAAGAAAATTTCAAACCATATATCTGATAAGAGGTTAATCCCTAAAATATATAAAGGGCTCCTACAACTCAATAGCAAAAAACCTTAATAACCCAGCTAAGAAATAAGCTAAGGATTTGAACAGGTATTTCACCAAAGAAGATACAAATGGCCAAAAGCTATATGAAAAAATGCTCAATGTTACTAATCATCTGGGAAACGCAAATCAATACCGCAATGAGATATCACCTGACACCTGTCAGGATGGTTATTATAAAAAAAAAAAAATACAACCTGTTGGTTAGGATGTGGAGAAATTGGAACCCTTGCTCGCTATAGTGGGAATGCAAAATGATACAGTCACTATGGAAACCAGTGTGGATATTTCTCAAAACATTAAAAATAGAATTACATATGATTCAATCCCATTTCTGGGTATTTATATAAAAGAATTGAATTCATGTCTTAAAGAGATATTAGCATGCCCATGTTCATTACAGAACTATGCCCAATAGCCGAAGTGAGGCAACAACCTAAATGTCTATCTACAGAGGAATGGATAAAGAACATGTGGTATATACATACAATCAAATATTACTCAGCATTAAAAAGAAGCAAATTCTGCAATATGTGACAACATACATGAAGTTTGAGGGCATTATGCCAAGGAAAACAAGCCCAGTCACGGAAAGGTAAATGCTGTGTGATTCCACTTATGTGAGATATCTAAGATAGTCAAATTCATAGAATCAAAGAGTGAGATGGAGGTTGCCAGGCGGTGGGGAGAGGGAGAAATGGGTAATTACTAACCAATGAGCGTAAGTTAAGCAACATGAATAAGTTCTAGAAATCTGCTGTACAATATTGTACCTATAATCAACAGTACTATATTTATGCTGAAAAAATTTGTTAGGAGGGTAAATCTCATGTTAAATGTTCTTATTAATTTAAATTTAAAATTGAATGAGCCAATGACTTTGAAAGCTACTAAACTGAAATTAAAGAATTTCCCTGCCAAAAAACCCATAGACCCAGATGATTGTTAAGGAATAGAAATCTCTATCCTATATACGTTTCTAAAAGAGGAAATATTAAATGGCTAAGCTCTTCTTTTCAGGATAGCGTTAATTTCAAAAGCTTAATTTGAAACCTTTGTTTCAAAGTTAGAGAAACATAATTCAAAAAATGAAACTATATATGGTTTACTTATAAAGCAAAAAAAAAAAATTCCCAGAATGGTTTACCATTAGAAAATCTGTCAGTGTAATTTATCATATTAGTGGACTACAATGGAAAATTCATATGACTATCTCAACAGGCACAAAAAAATTACTTCTTAAATTCAACAACCTATATATGATAAAATCACAGAAAATATAAATAATAAAACATTTCCTAAACTTGATAATATGCTTAATAGCCAAACACTATAGTAAATATCATACTTAGAAAAATTTCACGTCTTTAAATTCAGAAATGAGACAAAGATAACTGTTGTTGCTATTATTTAATATAAAAAAGAGGTATAAGGATTGGAAAGGAAGAAGCAAAAATGTCATTATGTGTAACAGATGATCATCTCCATGGAAAACCATTAGATCAAAAGAAAAACTTTGAATTAATAAAGGTTTGCAAATACAGGCTAACTTACAAAATCCAGAACTGTTCCTAAACCACTAATAAGCAGCTGGAAAATTTCATTAAAAAAATAAGATGCCATTTATTATAGTGAACAAATTAAAAGTACCAAGGCATTAACTTAGCAAAAATTACACAAAATCTGCAGAAATAAAATTATTAAACTTTCCCAAAAGACATTTAGAAAGACTTGAAAAAATGGATAACATATTTATAGGTGGATCAAATTACATCAGTACTATCAATACTCCCCAAATTAAATTAATCTATAAATTCAATGTAAGACTGACCAAAATTCCAACTATATATTTTTAAGAATGTAATAAATGCATCTGGGGTCGGCCCTCCGGCCAAGTGGTTAAGTTCCTGCTCCCTGCTTCTGTGGCCCAGGTTTCCCGGGTTTCGATTCTGGGCGCAGACCTAGCACTTCTCATCAAGCCATGCTGAGGCAGTGTCCCACATAGCAGAACTAACAGGACCTGCAACTAGAATATACGACTGTGTACTGGGAGGCTTTGGGGAGAAGAAGAAGAAAAAAAGATTGGTGGCAGATGTTAGCTCAGGGCCAATCTTAAAATAAAATAAAATCTTTAAAAAATTCTAAATAAATAAATTTATTTCATGATATGTGTGTGTGTGTGTGTGTGTGTGTATCCATGAATGGATACATCAAGTTAGAAAACAAAAGCTGGGAATCTCTCTTTACCAGATTTTAACACATAACGAAAGACTGTAGTAATAAACCTATATGCAATTATGAAGAAACAAAAAATTAAAACAATGGAACAAAGTTCTACCCGAGAGAGCTGAAAATAGAGCTAATTGGTAAGGAAAGGATAGATTATGTAGCAGCTGGTGTTAGGAAATCTGGCTCATTATATAGTTGATGAAAAGTAATACTATATGTCAATCCTTCTTTATGTACAAAGGCTTAAAGACCTAAATATGAAATAGACAAATATGAAACTAATAAATATCAGTATATTTTTGTGAAGTTAGATGGGTGAGGACTTCTTAAATAAGACCCCAAACTCAAACTCTTAGGTGAAAAATTGATGGATTTTACAACGTTAAAGCACTAAAGACTTCTATTTTCTTAATGACATAACTGAGAAATTTAATGGAGCAATGCCAAGTAGGGAGAAGTAATCAATATCTAGTATGTAAAGGATATAAAGAATTTCTGCGAATATAGACAACCAAACAGAAATCACATGAGAATGTAGACAAGAACTTCACAGAAGGGAAAACCTAAGTGGCTAACAAATATATGAAGACATGCTCATACTTTTTAATAATCAGAAAAAAACCCACAAATCAAAGCAGCCAATCAATTGGTGATATTGGGAGGGGTCCTGAATCAGGGGATAAACAGAAACATTCAAAGCCATTAATGCAACCTCATTTGAAACCATTAGTTCGTGAAATTGGATAACAGAAACAAATCTTTGTTTCCATTTATTTTAAGAATGATTATTGCTGCTACCAAATGGATGATTTAAGACAGAAGGTTAAGTCTTAAATTTGAAGTATTTGTGTGTGACAGCAAACATCACACACCTGCCAATTACCTGTGTGCAGGAAGAAAGCAGCTCAAGTTCTCCACCTCAGGCTGTGGCAGCTGGGGTCTGGTTTCACGCACATTCACTGACCTAGAGATATTATAATGACATGGATGTGTCCGTAAGAGCAACACAGCCCAAACACTCCCCCTAATGGTGTATATTGTAAGAGTATGCTATGAATAAAAAAATGGAAGGCTCAGATTCAAATTCTCTTGAAAGATTGATCAAAATATCTTTTGAAGGTTTAGTTCAGCATAAAAATACTATACAAGTTCTGCAATTACAGAACTTGTATGTTATTTCCACTCTATAATAGTGAGAGTCACAACATATGATTTGTCCTCTTGGAGAATATACCTGCTATACTCCCAAATTTATACCTTTGGTTCTTATCTGCTCTGTAAATTCCAGATTCATTTTTGTAGATAATGGACATATTCCCTCTGATGTCAAATAGGCGTTTAAAAATTAACATGTTCAAAATAGAACTCTTGGTCCTCCCTCCAAAGTTTGTTCTCCCTCTGATCTCCCCTATATTTGTAAAAGGTTCTTTCATCTATGCCAAAAAGATTAGCATCATCAGGATAGTTTTTCCCTTTCACTCTTTCCACATCTTATCCATCAGCAATCTCATCATCCTAAATATATCCCCCAATTCCCATCACAAACACCCTGCTCCAGACCACTATCAATTCCCATCTTGACTATGGCAATCATCTCTAAAAACGTCCTTCCTGGGGCCAGCCCTGTGGTGTTGTGGTTAAGTTCACATGCTCCTCTTCCGCAGTTCAGAGTTCGTAGGTTCAGATCCCAGGCACGGACCTAGCACCACTCATCAAGCCATGCCATGGCGGCGTCCCACATAAAATAGAGGAAGATTGGCACACATGTTAGCTCAGGGCCAATCTCCCTCCCAAAGAAAACAAAACCAAAACAAAAAAACCAAAAACTCCTTCCTTTCATTCTTAACTTCTAAGAAACTTTGTCCACATTCCAGCTGGAGAGATCTTTTTAAAGGGTAAATCAGAACCTTGTACTCTCTTGTTTTAAATAACTCAATGGATTGACATTACAGATAGTAGAAAACCCAAATGCCTTTCCAGGCCTGTGGGTCTTACCTGTTCTGGCCCCCATCGCTACTTCTAAATCATCATTCTAGCCACGCTGACTTTCTCTTTTTTTCTTGGAGCACACCAAGCTCATTCCCACCTCGGGATCCACACTAACTCTTCCTTTGTTATGTGTAACACACTTTGCCAATAACTTTACTCACAACCTTTTTCTGACTCAGTTCTCAGTTTAAATGTCACCTCCTCAGAGAGACCACTCAACATAAACTAGCCCCACGGTCTCTTTCAGTGATATCATTCTGCCTCATTTTCCAAATAGTACTTATCACTAGCTGGTATTTTCTTGTTTCCTTGTATATTTTCATTGACTATCTCTCCCCACTGGGAAATAAGCTTCTGAAGGCAAAGAACTTGTCTGCTGTAGTTGTATCTCTGTCTCCCACACTCATAACAATGCATAGCAATATACAGGCACTCAAGAAGCATTTGTTGAATAGACAAATCAATACTTTATTCTATTAGTCCTGTAAAGTAAGATCACTTCCATCTTTCTATGCCTTTGTCAGGTAGACTTATCTCAAGTTTCTAATCTAACTGTTCTTTTTTTTTTTAAAGATTTTATTTTTTTCTTTTTTCTCCCCAAAGCCCCCCAGTACATAGTTGTATATTCTTCGTTGTGGGTCCTTCTAGTTGTGGCACATGGGACGCCGTCTCAGCATGGCCTGATGAGCAGTGCCATGTCCGCGCCCAGGATTCGAACCAACGAAACACTGGGCCACCTGCAGCGGAGCGCGCGAACTTAACCACTCGGCCATGGGGCCAGCCCCTCTAACCGTTCTTTTTTACCACTCAGTGGACCCCCTCCCATCAGCTGTCTGAAGTTTATATGCTCTCGCCTGTCAAAATCTGTCCGCAAGAAAGAATCTCAAACTCAATTTACCACAAGCATGAATGGTTACTAACAGCCTACCATTATAACAAATCCAAATATCATTTTGATATCATTTTAACGTGGATAAATCCTCGGCTGCAAGAATCATCAAGCATATGGAAAATAATTTTCCCTGATGATTCTTTCCATAATGAATTTTGGATTTTTTTTTTCAGATTTGAAGCTAGCTCCATTATACCCACCTTCTCTATCACAGACAAGTGATAATGCAACTTACTTTTTCTTTCTCCAAACAATAAAGAGAACAATAAGTGAAATACAGAGAAAAATTATGAAGACACCAACTATAGGCAGCCAAGCATAAGAAGAACCAGAAGTACCTGAAAAACACGAACCAGAAACACATTCTTTTTGACTGTACTTTTCTATGCTCTGTGCTGTTTGGATACTTTCATTTGTGATGTTCTTTTGACTCACCATTGCTTTGCTGACATTCAAATTGATGAGATATTTAATTTTATAAAAGAATATACTAATCTACATTCAAATTGAAGACATAAGATTTAATATCATACTTCCACTCTTAAAAGTTAAAAAGAAAAAGATATAACCACCTAACTATTCACCTAGCTATAACCACCTAAAAATGTTTAAGCAAAATATAATAATTGGATGAAATATTATCCAATTACTAAAATGGAATTTCTGAAGAGTCTGCAATAATCTCAGAAAATAAATTTATAATAATAATAATTAGTATCTAAAATTAATGGTCTAAGCAATGTGATAAACATTTTATAAGGGTTATTTACATCAACTAGGTGAGTACAATTATTAGGTACAAGTGGGAAGATGGAGGCTCTGAGATGTTAAGAAAATTGCCCAAAGATGCACAGTGATTAGGAGGCAAAACTGGGAAGCGAGTTCACTTCTGTCTGACTCCAGAGCCTGTACTCTTAATAAAAAAATAAATTATAAAATTTTGAGTATCAACAATTTTTACAGTAGCTATTTTGACCACAACATTCCTAAATTGTATTACAGACTTCACTTCTTTCTGTTTAGCCTTCTGAACATAATTTACACTTTTCATTGCAACTTAAGTTTAACAAAAGGCCACCATTATGACTGTCAATGATAGTTCTTAGATATAATATAAAAATGCACCGATACACTTTGTGGATGTACCTTAAGGAAATTTGCACTTACATTAAATGGCATTGCGCATTTTGCATTCTTAGGTCTGTTTGTGATAAGTTTTTTTGTACTCTTTCTGATTGTCAGACTGATGTAATTTCTCTGCTAATTGTAACCTCTCACCTCTTTTAAATTTTCTGCTTTGAATTTTCTATTACCATTGAAGGAAAAGAGAAACTCTTGTTAGCAATTACGTCTTCCCTGAGATACTGTTAGAAAGTCCACATGTTTCAGTTGAGGAACTTTATGCCATTTATTTTTGATTGTTCAGACATCACTTTGTCTCAGATTCTAGTTTTAACGATGTTCTTTCTCAAATGAGATACATAGCTCATTCAAAATGAGTGGCAGAGGTTGAATGGGAAGAATTTGGTACTAAAATGTAAACACAGCCCTTAAGTCAACAACAAAACATAGAGGAGAAAAAGCTCTATACAAGATTTCAGCAGAATCAGGGATTTCTATCCCAAATATTTGTGACAATGCTAAACAAAGTAGAATCCTTTTCTGAGTTGGTGTTACTTCTTTACAGACATTTGGATCTCTCTGAGAAGTGAAATTAACCATAATAATCTAGCCAAAATATTGACGGGAGATACATATGTTATTCAATTGACATATTCCAATTTCACAATTTGGGTATTGCCAAGAAAGAGAAGCTGATTAACTTTAGTTGCAAAAGACACACATGAGAAAAATATTAATCTTTACTCCTTCCTGAGACTCCACTAAAATTATAGTAACAAAAATAAAATGATTAAATGAAAAACAACAAACAGAAGAGTGAACTTCATTGGCAAGAGATTTAAACAAACTTACAAAAAATGTAAAGTGGATAGAGGAATGAAGCTGCAGGATGAAAGAAGCTACAGGCTCACGCATGTACAAAGTAGACTATAACTGCAGAGAGACCTCTGCCGAACCTGGGGAGGCTCAGAATTTCGATGATGAAGAAGGAGTGAATCGTGGAATGAAAGTTACAGTCAAAAGCACCATTTCCATATCCCAAAGCACAACTTTGGACCATCAGGTGCTTACCCCTTAGCCAAAAAAATGAGGGATAGTTAAAGCAATTTATTGAACATACAGGAGTGACTAGGGTAGAGGGGGTCAGAGCACCTCTACATTCTTGCTTTTAGAGTATCCTGGCTAATTGATGCCTGTTCTCTAAAAAGAAAAGTCTGTCTGTTCACAAGATGCAATAAACCAAATAAAGCTTCTATAAATCTTTAGTCAGGGCTCACTAGACTGTGAAGAAAGCCTGTAATCAAAGTGAAAAAGACTGAGTAAAAGAAATTTAAATTAAATGATAGTAGTGGGGAGGTGGATTGGAGGAGATAATAAAACAGAAGATAATTATAACACCTCTAAATTATTATTCCCAGATAGATTTGAGAAGATGGTACTTCCTTAAAATAGGAAGAAAAGGGTATGAAAAAATTAAAGCAATTTTAATTTCTGAAATTAATTTTAAATTGCAAAAGCAATTCGAAATTATAAACCTGATTGCCAAAAGAAGGAAAAATTGAATGAAAGCATTTGAAGATAAGTTTCAGAAAATCTCCCAGCTAGTATAAAGAAAAAAAGATCTGTGAATACTTAAAAAAAGGAGAAAATAAAATCCAATCTAAATGTTTAATGCCCACTTAATTAGAAGTTCATAAAAAAAGAATAAGTTGATGAACAGGGGAGAAATTCTCGAAGATGTGAGAAAATATTCAGAATTGAAGGATTTGAGTCTCTAGATTGAATGAACTCACCAAATGTCCATTACATTAAAGGATTTTTTAAAAAAGACACCAAAAAGTAGCAGTTTTGGAAGTTTTGGAACTTTGAGGATAAAGAGAAGATACTATGTTACCAAAGAGAAGATAAAGTAATATCTACTATTAGAATTATCAGATTGACATTTGACTTCTCATCAATAACAATGGATAGTCAAAGACAATGGAGAAATGCTTTAGAGGTTCTGAGGTGAGCAGGATGGTTAAGCTAAAGTTATATAACAAGCAAGTTATCAATCACATGTAAGAGCATTGTAAGACAGTGGGGTACATCCTGTGGCCTGTTAGCGTGACTACTAGAGTCGGTAGGAATATTGCCTGTTATTCTAAATCTCCAGCATTGAGTCTAAGTCTCTACTCGGACCAGGTTGTGCTAGCCTTGAAGGACTGAAAATGATGGAAGGATAATCTTTGTTAGGCTGAGTATATTGTTTTACAGTAGTCTCATTTTGTGCTAGTCATCATTTCGTGTTTTATTTAGGTTAGTTCAGACTTAATCGAGAGATTGATGAGGTGTCCTGGGCCTAGCATCATTCTGTGTTTTATTTAGGTTAGTTCAGAGTTAACTGAGAGATTGATGAGATGTCCTGGGAGTAAGTGAGGTTATGTTTGGCCACTCTGGACTATGTACCAGGCTACTCATTCCAATGTTCCAATAGCTGGCTATGGACAAAAACTGTTAGGCTTTCAAAAGATTTGATGTCTCCTCCTTTCATTCAAACTTTATGAAATTCAGTGGAAAGCATGTAAAGGAGATCAATTAAAAATGTGCCATCTAAGAACAGTTACCCTCAGAAGCAGGGCTGAGGTAGAGAACATCTTCATTATTTGAATATTTTAACTATGCATAGTATTACATCGATTTACATTTTTAAAAATAGATGATCAAACACTTCTGATAGTGAATTTTGAAGATAACAGTTTCCCCTTGTGGATTATTACTTCTACTTACATTCTCATTTGACTGACAGAGGAACAATCTTCTCTTCCTTCCTTAGAGGATGGTCCATGTGCACAATCAGGTGATGGAGTCTCAGGGACCTCACAGTCTCTAAGGAGATGTTGTACGTTTTAGAGATAGTCGCCGTGCCATTTGGGTTCTGAGCAAGGTATTCCTCTGGCGGATTAATCAAGACTTGTGACGGGGAAAGAGATATTTGAGGAGCAGGTTTTCCCACAGCTGAATAAATAAATCGAAGAAAATTTTCACAGTCAAGATTGGGCTGGAGTTCAGTTCTTAATTCAGATACAGCTGAGGCAAAAACGGAGAAACAAAATTAAACATAAAAATTTGTCACATCATATTTTTATGGTGTTAAAGATGGATTTCCCCAAATTTTTATGTGACGTCAAAATGTTGAAAACATGTCCCTCTCAGATACCTCTCCTCACATTTTACAAAATTTCACAATTCCATCTCTTATACCTACTATCTCCAATTTGAGAGGAAAAATTGGTATCTCCACTTTCATTCAACCTTAAAATTACATTATGTAAACCTCCAAAACTTTAAATTTATGGCAACATAATGAAGGAACACTATGACACTATCTCTATTCCTTCAATGTTTTGTTAATTTGAAGTTCGGGAAATTCTTATTCTCTTAGAGTCTTCTTCTTTCCTCTTTCTCCTTCTTCACTCTCTCTCTTCTCTTTTCCCAGTGAAAATCCTGACACTGTTCATGAATTTTACCCTCTGGATTAAAGTCAGTGCAACATAGGGCTAAAAAGTTAGTTTAGTGGGCAGAAAACTTAAATGCTGTACCTGATCCCACATTGTGTGAAAATGGGCAACTCATATAATAATCATTGGCTTCCATTTTTTTCTTCTGTATAACAAAAGACTTGACATGGGTGACCTCTATCATAGCCTTTCCTTATCTAATATTCTTTCTGTGGACCTTAACTTTCAGACCACATCCCCCATGATTTTGACTCTACATAAAACCTTTACGTACTTATAATGTTAAGGCAGGTTTGTCCTCCATGGCTGCCATGTGGGAACACATTAAATAGACATTTGTAGCAGGCTTCATCTTCAAATGTCACTTCACGAATAGTTATGAATGAGGAATTGGGTTCGATGGCCTTGCAGTGCAGCCGATTTATATATGGTGGAAGAATCTTTTCTCCGTATCTACTGCTATATGTGCCAATATTTTGTGGCAAAGAATCTTGGATCTTCTGCCAGGTAATTTGCACAACATCTGCTGGAGTTGTTAAATTGCAGAAAATTGTCACATTTTCTCCCAATACAGCTGTCTGATTATTTTTGTGCTTTATCCTATGTGGAGAATCTGAAAATGAAACCCAATATGAATGAAGAGAAATGCACTTTCATACTATCCTGGACTTACCCCTTCATAACACTTGTCTCTCTGTTTTATAATTATCTTTTATTTGCCTCTCTTCTCCACTAGAAAATGAACTCTCCTATCTTCTTCACCATTGATATGCAGCTTCTAAAAGTATTTCTGGCACATACTACCTAGTCAATAAATACTTACTGAGTGCAAAAATTCAAACACAAATTAACCAATATAAGATAAGTATGGTAATTTTGATGAATTTCTGGAGGCTGAATGTGAACTAGCTTGAAGGTTAAAAACTCCTCAGGGCTCCAGTCCTAGGGAAGACCCTAAATTTCATAGGTTTCACCAGCAGGAACATCATCAGGTTCTCGTGGTGAAGAGCCAAGAAAAATCATCTTATATCTTTGGAAAAGGGAGAGAAAAGTACCATTTTGAAACAAGGCCAGTGCATTTTCCATTAAAAGACCTACTCTCCAGGGGAAAAGACTTTACCAGAACTTTATCTCATGTAGTTGGAAGGACAATAACCCAACTCCAGTTCCTGTTAGCTTTCCTATCTCATCTAAGAGGGGGAAGGAGAAAAAAAAGGTAAGAAAACTTGTGAAGGTCACAACCAAGGGACACAGGCCCACTAAAAGAGTAAGATTTAACTATAAGATTTTAAAATACTTCTTCTCCTCCATGTTTTACTATCACATCAATAGGCTCCAATATAATGACATTGGATTACAACTGAAATGGTTACAAGGCTCAGACTCTAATTAATAATGAATTCTTACAGGAGTTCAAAAACAACAGGGGAGACAAAGACAAAGAAACTACAGGAATCTGAAGCACCTGACACCTAGACCTACAGCAAACAGTAAACACAACCCAGCTCCTAGCCAGATTAACATAAAACCCATGCTAAAGCTCTATTTACCTTCATTCCTGTTACCTGATGCAACATGTCTGGATTTCGACAAAAGATTACAAGGCATGCTAAAAGCCAAGAATAAAAACAGTCTAAAGAGACAAAGCAAGCCTGACTCAAATATAGTACAGATTTTGAAATTACCAGACAGGGAATTAAAAATAACTATGATTAATATATTAAGGACTCTGGTGGAAAAGTTGACACATGCAAAAACACATGGATAATGTAAGCAGAGATTTAGAAACTCTAAAAAGAATAAAAAGAAACTATGAAAGATATTAAAAGAAAAATATAGACCAACATCTCTTATGACATAGAAACAAAAATCCTAAACAAAATATTCGCAATTGAATCCAAAAATGTATTTAAAATCATGTACTGCAACCAAATTGATTTATCCCAAATACGCAAAGCTGGTTCAACATCTGAAAATCAATTAATGTAATCCAAAAAATAAAAAAGAACAGTCATATGATCATATCAATAGATGCAGTAAAAGCATTTTATAAAATCCAGCGCCAATTTATAATAAACATTCTTAGTAAACTAGGAATAGAGAGTAACTTCCTCCACCTGATAAAGAATATCTACAAAAACTTACAGCCAACATCATACTTCACCAGTGAAAAACTCAAAGCTTTCCCACTAAGATCAGGTACAAGGCAAGGACGTCCTCTCTCACCACTCCTCTTCAACATCATCATACTGAACATTCTCCCTAACGCAATAAGGCAAGAAAAGGAAATAAAAGGTACACGTATTGGGAAGAAAGACATAAAGCTTTCTTTGTTCACAGATGACGATCATCTTACATAGGAAATCAGAAATCAACGCAATCAAATCAACAAAAGAAACTCTTGGGACTAATAAGTGACTTTAATCAGGCTGTAGGATTACAAGGTTAATATACAAAAGTCAATCACTTTCCTGTATATCACCAATGAACAAGTGGAATTTGAAATTAAAAACACAATACTATTTACATTAGCAGCCCCAAAATGAAATACTCAGATATAAGTCTAATAAAATATGTACGAGATCTCTATGAGGGAAACTACCAAACTCTGATGAACAAAATTAAGTAAGAATTAAATAAATGAGAGATATTCCATGTTCATGGATAGGAAGACTCAACATTGTCAAGGTATCAGTTCTTCCCAATTTGATCTGTAGATTCAATGCAATCCCAATCAAAGTCTCAGCAAGTTATGTTACGGATGTCAACAAACTGATTCTAAAGTTTAAACAGTCAGGCAAAAGACCTAGAATAGCCAACATAATATTGAAGGAAAAGAACAAAGTTGGAGAACTGACACTATGCAACTTCAAGACTTAGTTTGAAGCTATAGTAGCCAATATGTGTGGTATTTTCAAAAGAATAAACAGATCAATGGAACAGAATAGATAGCCCAGTTATGGACCCACACAAACATAATCAACTGATTTTTTACAAAGATGCAAAGGCAATTTGGTGGAGAAAAGGTAGTCTTTTCAACAAATGATGCTACTGAGATAATTAGATGTCTGATTACTTTCCCACAGCTGCCATAACAAATTACCACAAACTTGGTGGCTTAAAACAGTAGAAATTTATTTTCTCACAGATATAGAGGTCAGAAGTCCTAAATTGAGATATCAGTAGAGTTGGTTCCTTTCGGAGGCTCTCAGTGAGAATCTATTCCATGCCTCTCTCCAAGCATCTAATGGTTGCCAATGAGCCTTGTGATTCCTTGATTTTTAGATGCATCACTCCAATCTCTGACTTCATCTTCTCTGTCTCTGTGTATAGTCTCCTCTTCTTGTAAGGACACCAGTCATTGGATTTAGAGCCTCCTCTAACTCAGGATGACTTCATCCTGAGATCCTTCCCTTAACTTCATCTGCAAAGATCCCATTTCTAAAAAAGATCACATTCTGAGGATTCAGATAGACATGAATTTTGGAGGGACACTATTCAACCCTCTACAACATTCATATGCTAAAAAAAATTAATATAGACACCTAACTTTCACAAAAAATAACTCAAAATGGATTATAGATCTAAGTGAAAAATTCAAAAGTATAATAATGTAAGATGTTAATAATAGGGAAAACTGGATAAGGGTTCCAATTTACCATATGGGAACTCTGTACTATTTCCTCAATTTTTCTGTAAGCCTAAAACTATTCTAAAAGATACAATCTTTTTAAGAAATAAATTCTACTTTGATATAAGCAAATGGAAAATTAAAATTTGAAGATATCATTTACAATACCCTCCCCAAATAAAAAGAAAGACATATATATGGATAAATGAATTGAAAGATATATAAGACCTCTCCACTAAGATTTACAAAATATATTTGAAAAAATCAAAGAAGACTTAAATAAGTGGAAAGATATATCATATCATAGAGAGGAAAAAACACAAAGATGTCAATTCTTTCCAAGTAAATTTTTAGATTCAATGAAAATCTAATAAAACTCAAGTAGTTTTTAAAATTTTAATTCTGGAATTTGACAAGTTGAATCTAAAAAAAAACCAAGGCAATAAACCGAAGACTTACTATCCAGATATAGAGCTAAAGTAATACAATGTGATATTGATTCAAGAATAAGCAGACAGATGAACACAATAAAATAGAGAATCAGAAACAGACCCACACAAATATGGTCATCTGATATATATGACAAATGGAACAGACAGTGCATGGAATTTGGAAAAAGATGATCTTTCCAATAAATGATAATGTGTACCTTGGATACCTATATGGAAAAATTATATATTGACCCCCATCTAAGACCAGAGATAAAAATCTATTTCAAATGCATTAAAGATCTAAATGTGAAAGATAAAACATAGCTTTAAAAATAAAGTATTATAGGGACTGCTGGAAAGATGGTGGCATAGGAGGACTCTGAACTCATCTCCTTCCACAGACACAACAAAATTACAACTACTCTTGGAATAATTACCCGCGAGAGAGAGCCAGAAACTGGATAAAAGAACCACCACAACAAGGGACAGCACTGACTGAGGTGGAAGAGTCAGAAATACCTTTCTGGAGAGGAAAAAGCCACATTCCAGCTGTGGTGCTTCACAGCTGGGAGCAATCTGAAGGTATGAAACTTTCCCTGAAGGAGCCAAAGAGGGAGAGATTTGCCACACAAGTAGCTTTTGAAGTCAGCACAACTGAGAAAAGTGTCATAATATCTGGCTTTGCTGGCCATTAAAAACAATGGAGAATACTCCCAGAAAAGCTATCAAACATAAGAGAAAGAAAAGCCTTCTCTTAAGGAGCCTACCTACAAATTCACCCATTCTGGAAAGCAACACAAAATCACCAGAAAGAAAGGTGCACAGTCCTTTGGTGAAAGACACTCACTTGATAGGCTCTGGGCGCATCTCAGGTAGGCAGGAGGTGACTGAGTTCTCCTCTGCAGGGACTGGGACATTGGCAGCAGCCATTATTGTGACCTAGTACAGGTGTGCTGACACAGATGCTGGCAGAAGCCATTGGATTTCTTCCCCTGGCCTGTTAGCACAGGGGTTTGCCCCACCCACTAGAGCACCAATTTAATCCAGCTTAGCCAGGGAAGGCAGACCATCTTAGGGACTGGCCCTGACCACCAGCAAGCCCTTTGACAACTTGTGGACCTGCATAGGTGGGGTGTGTAGGACCTCTGCAGTGGGGTGAGTGGGTCCACCTCTGTGGGGGGACATGCATGGGGGAATGCCTGCATTAAAGGAGTGTATGGGGCTTCTTCAGCAGGGTGAGTGGGTCCACTTCAGCAGGGCAGGGCATGTGCATGGGGCAGGACTGCATCATCAGTGTTTGTGGGCCTGCAGGCAATTGGGCTTGTCAGCTGCAGCAGACTTGTGGTTCTCAAAAAGCCACATAAGGGATCTACCTCACCTTCCAATGTCTGAAACAACTGAGTGCTGCCATGCCTGGGGCAAGCCCCATCCAGCTGAAGTCCTGAGAGAGCTGAAAATAGCCTCAAAGTTCAGAGGTCTGAAGCAATTGTGAGCCCCTGAACCTAACAACTGACTGCACTAGGGGCTTACTCACTTAACAGCAAAACTGAT